AGGAAATTGAAATTGGCACTAAAAGGCTGGTAATAGGGGCATCCACCCTATACGAATAAATGTACAAGTTAAGCTTATTTTTCGTCCATAAATGCGTTTTAAATAAAACCGCGTATCGATTATGCACTCCAAGAGGTCTAACATTTGCGCGCGTTAAATTAAAATGGGTAAAATGATATTAAATATTACAATTTTTCCTATTCGTTTTTTTTCTTTTTCTTTTCAAGATATAAAATTATAATTAAATGGTGAATCGAAAATGAACTTAGGTTATAGGTACGTCCTTTCACTCCGAAAATTTGGGTTTGACTGACGATCAGTCAGCATGAGCGTGTAATGTCCAAATTATTCCATCATTCAAACCTCAGTCATGATTAATCGAACTGATTGACGCTTGCCTAGGCGTGTAATGGGCGTCTAAGGACGAATTAGGATACGGTATTGACACAATTATAGCGATTGAAACAGGTATGAGATTATTACTAACTACTAATCCAGAGTAATTTCTAGGCAGAAAAGACTCTGGGTTGGTACTAAGTGGCTCCATACCACTCATCATCATCATCATTACAGCCCTTCACAAGTCCACTGCTGAACATAGGCCTCCCCCAAGGAATGCCACAAAGCACGGTCCTGAGCCACCTGCATCCATCGACTTCCTGCATATCTTACCACGTCGTCACTCTATCTAGTGGGGGGACGCCCAACACTTCGCCTGCCGGTACGAGGCTGCCACTCGAGAACCTTTCTTCCCCATCGGTTGTCGGTTCTTCGAGCTATATGGCCGGCCCATTGCCACTTCAGCTTACTAATCCGTTAGGCTATGTCGGTCACTCTGGTTCTACTGCGGATATCCTCATTTCTGAGTTTATCACGCAGAGAAACTCCGAGCATAGCCCTCTTCATAGCTGGCTGAGCGACCTTGAGCTTCCTCATCTGGCCAGCAGTGAAGGACCACGTCTCAGTTCCGTATGTCATCACTGGCAACACGCACTGGTTGTACAGTCTCGTTTTCAAGTTTTGAGGTATACCTGACGAGAAGATGTGCCGTAATTTCCCGAACGCTGCCCAACCGAGTTGAATCCGTCGATTAACCTCTCGGTCGAAGTTGGACTTACCTAGTCAGACTATTTGTCCCAGGTAAACATACTCGTCAACAACTTCGAGCTTAGAGCTCCCAACAACTACCGGCATAGGTGTGACATGGACATTAAACATGAGCTTTGTTTTGTCCATGTTCATCTTAAGACATATCCGTTGGGAAGCACTATTGAGGTCATTGAGCATAGTGCTTATGTCCTCCAGCGATTCTGCCATAAGGACTATATCGTCGGCAAATCGAAGGTGAGTGATGTATTCGCCATTGATGTTGATACCTTATCCTTTCCAGTCCAGAAGCTTGAAAACGTCTTCCAATGCAGCGGTGAAGAGTTTCGGGGATATGACGTCACCCTGTCTTACACCTCTCTGCAATTGGATAGGTTTCGTACTCTGGTTCTGTACTCGGATAGCCATCTTAGCCCTACTGTACAAGCACTTCAGCACTTCGATATACCGACAGTCTACTTGGCACCGCTGAAGGGACTGCAGCACCGCCCGAATTTCGACAGAATCAAATGCTTTCTCATAGTCCACATACGCCAGACATAGTGGCTAATTGTAGTCCTGTGACTTTTGTACAATTTGCCGAAGGGTGTGTATGTGGTCCATGGTGCTAAAGCCTTTTCGGAAACCGGCTTGTTCGGGAGGCTGGAAGTCGTCAAGTCTGCGCGCGAGACGATTCGTAATGACTCTCGAAAACAGCACGTAGACGCGGCTCAGAAGGGAAATCAGTCTGTAGTTCTTCAAGACAGCCTTGTCGCCTTTCTTGAAGAACAAGACCACCGCACTTCTGCTCCACGCCTCCGGTGTAATGCCACCATGGAGGATGGAATTAAAGAGCTTCTGAAGGACTCAAGTACCGGTTTTCCACCCGCTTTCAGAAGCTCCGCTGTAATTCCTGTAATTCCATCCTCGCCTGGGGCCTTGCCGTTTTTAAGGAGCTGGAGAGCCAATCTAATCTCGCTCAGACTGACGTCCGGGATATCATCGGAATAATGTCGGATAAGACTCGCTCTTGGATTGTTACTCACACTCGCGTGTGGCTCTAACGATGACGTGTACAGCTGCCCATAGAACCTCTCAATCTCACTCAAAATCTCAGGTGCCCCGGAAACGATGCTGCCACATTCTGTCTTCAGCTTTGACTGTTGGCTCTTTCTGGCAGACAGATCTCTGGCAAAGACTTTGGAGCCTTGGTTCCGCGGATATCTGTCTATTCAGTTGCCTGTATGCTGTCAAATCTGTTGAAGAATGTAGCTTCATCTCCCGTTCAACAGCCATGAGATTAAGACTGTGATCGGAGAGTTTTTGTGTTCTTCTGCGGCGGGTCTTGCAGAACTTAGCTCCGACCGCCTAGACAGTTTCCACTAGCTTTTCATTTATATTATCCACTCCATTGCAGTCTTCTAGGCACTGAAAACGGTTCTGTAACTCGAGCTGAAAGGTTTCGGGACTTTGGATTAGAGCACGAGGGGGACGGAGCGTTGACTTCATTAGACGAGACCTCTCCAACTTAACATTTAGGTTCAGTGTGCCTCTAACCATTCGGTGATCGCTGCCGGTTTTGACCTTCGCGATCACTGAGACATCACTGAACAGTTGTCGTCTGGTCGTCATAATGAAGTCAATCTCATTTTTTGTCGAACCGTCGGGGCTCGACCAGATCCACTTTCTGTGGGGCTGCTTCTGGAAGAAAGAGTTCATCATAAAGAGTCCCTCTTTCTCCATGAAGTCGGCCAGCTGCTGGCCCCTCGGGTTCCGTTGCCCTATTCTGAATTTCCCTACTTTCAGCTCACCGTTCTCTCTTGTGCCTAGTTTTGCGTTGAAGTCTCCCATTAACACCGTATATTGGGTTTTGGAGGAATGCATGGCTCTAGAGATATCCTCATACATTTCCTCCACCTCCTCATCGGGGTTGTCCGAGGTTGGTGCGTAAACCTGTATGACCTTCAGCGAATACCGTTTTGTGATTCTGAGTATAAGGTACGCAACCCTCGTCGACACACTTTCAATCTTTACAACGTTGTTAACGAGAGACTTATGGACGATAAATCCGACACCTCCTTGGGACAGATGGTCGCCCTCCCGGTAATAGAGCAAGTTGCCGGATTCGAGGATTACCGTTTCCTCCCCCTGTCTTCGGACTTCGGATAATCCTATAATATGCCAGCGTAACTTGTCTATCACTTCCTCCAGCTCCACAATCTTCTCGTCAGTCCTCAGGGTGCGTGCGTTGTATGTTGCCAGGTCGAGTCGTCGTAGGTGGCAACCGAACCTCCACCGGAGATTCTTAGCACCCCCTGCCCCGCCGTTACCATGGTCGCCACCGTAGCCAGGAATAGCGGGGCCGCCGGGGACTGGGGGCCGTCTCTTAGTAACTTTATCCATTTGGGGTGTATTTGCCATAGTTGCCACGCTTGGCGAGCGGGTTGGCAACCGCAGTTTTTTTATTGTATTTTTGCTATTATCAGGAAGATGCTGCTGCCCATCTTCTGCCTGTTTCCCTTTGTCGCCTTTTACGACACCCACGGGAAGATATGGGGTAGTGGATATTCTTAACCGCCACTACACGGCATACCACTAGTTAGTTATATTATATTTTGTTATTAATTAAAAAAATATTAATTTTTGCAGGATTTCTTAGAAGGGCTCGATTTTATAATTATAAAAACACTCCAACTTTCCACTCATTTGTGCTCTTGTCCTACCCACGAACTATTGCCGTAAAAATTTCATTACTTTTAAGGCAGGGTTGGCTGATTTAAATCAGACTGAGTTAAGTCATGATTTATCACGATTTAAATCGCTTTATTTTTATTTAAAAAAATCATTGATTTAAATCAACATGTATACATTAATGTAATTGTTTTATGTTATTCTTTTTATTCTACTACAATTGTCTCATAAACTTTGGAAAATCAACAAAGACGTAGCGATGAGCGATGTGGTTTGTCAGTCTCATAAACTTAATAACACCAACCATAATTTTTTTTGAAATTCACCCTTAATATATAAACTGTAATTAAAACAGTATTAATTATTTTACTCTTAATCAGTCTCGTACATATGTATTCATAAACTTTTAATCCTACTATATCAAAAACTGTTACCAACTCGTGAATTTCCAAATATACAAAAAGAATCAAAAAAATCAAAAAAATCATGATTTTGTTTAAAAAAAAACATGATTTGATTAAAAATAAAAAAAATCATGATTTTTTAAAAAAAATAAGTATGGTTTGATTAAAATGAAAAAAAAAACATGATTTTTTCCATCCTTGCTTTTAAGCCCTTAATAATAAATAGTTTGTTGTTGTTTATAACACAGCTTTTAGTTCTTGGGGCTTGGTCTAAACTTATGACAGTTTTACTTCAATGGTGAAATCGTAATTTTATTTGACATTAAATTTTCACGCTTTCTGACGCATACCATAGTTGAATGAATAAAGTGAAGAGTGGCGAATCGACTCGTAGGCTTCGTTTATATCGATCAAATCGGTTTGATTGTGATAAAAAATGGCGTTTCGTAGGCTAGCAACATTTTTTTATTAAAAGTGAAATAAAATGTTATGTCTGCATTAAAAATGTAGTTCTTCTACTTAAGGATAAAAATCATCATATGAATTCAATAATATTTTGTTCAGACCTAATAGGCACATAGTGAACGTGCTTTGGTCATTCTCCTTTGTATGGGACTACATTACAAAGCAATATAATAGATTAAAGATTTCGAATTTACATTTCCCTTCGTCGGTTCCTAAGTTTCTAAATTTACGAAATAGATAATACAAATATACTTACGAAATAGATAATGAAAATTCTCCTGGTTAAAAAACATCGTCGTATTGAATAGAGACAAGAAACTTTTAACATAATATATTTATTTACTTCGTTTTCAGTTTCGACGTATGGCGGGAATTTCCCGATCGTATTGTTGGCTTTCCATCTCGCTTGCACGTCTGGGACAATGTTACCGCGTCCTGGAAGTACCACAGCGAGTGGACCAACCAAATCTCAATGGTGAGTTGATTAGCTTGAAATGATCTCCAAGCATAAAGGTGAAAAGGTCAACGAATAACGCATTAAGAAAACCGTTAAAATTATAACAGGGAAATTGAAGATTAACAACCCTATCTAAATGCGTTCTTTTTTTTTTCAAAATACGGATTATTATTTAACAGTGTTCTAAAGGACTTACTTTTGCAGTTAATCTGCCGCGTCGCTCAAGTCCGCAAATTATTTCATTCCTCAGGCATGCCGCTTTCCTAACGCTGATTTCCTTCACCGCCGAGCACGTGGTTAATCAGCACTTAAAATTGCATTTAACAATTTCATCTGTGCTGACGGTTAGTAATTTCATCGGAATCCATCTCGAATTGCTCGCGAACTATGAAATTTATGAAGAGCGCTTTGTCTTTACGTACTGTATATTTGTAGTATAATTTTGCATCAAAAACCTGAACAAGATGTATAGATGAGTTTTTAGCTTTATTGTTACTGTCCGTGTATGTGTCAGGTGCTAACTGGTGCGGCGTTCCACCACAAGATCTGGTCGTGGTACTACACGTACAAGATGCCAGCCGAGATCCGAAGCTGGGTCGATGAGTATTTCAACTGCGAGGACATCGCGATGAACTTTCTAGTCGCGAACATCACCAGGAAGCCGCCGATTAAGGTGGGAGTTGTTTTTTGTTGGCAACACTATGTTTTTTTTTTATAAAATTAGAGTGATAAACAAACTTACAGCCTTCCTGTTGGTAATTAACTACTGCTATTCATAGATACTTGCAGCCAATTTCAAACAAGGAAAGCTACAGATGCGTCAACACCTCTGAGGTCTAAAATGGAATGCATCACAGCCTGTTATTTAAACTGACCCTATGCCCTTCTCACTTTTTTTTATAGAATAAAGGCGACAAGCGAGTAAACAGTCCACCTGATGGTAAGTGGTTGCTGTAGCCCATAGACATCTACATCTATCCTCGATTACGAATCAAGATGCAAATGCGTTGTCACCCGTGAGGACTAAGATGGAATGCGTCGTTTCCAGTAAAAAGGGTCTCCGGTTCTCTACACTCACCATACGAAACACAGAAGCATTAAGCTGCTATTTTACGCTGTTATTCTGTTAGAGCGTGGTCCTTCTCCGGTCGAACCGACCCATTCGTGCTACAACTATATAACTAATATAGCTGTAGCACGGCTCTACCACGTATTACCACTCTACCACGTACAAACACTTTACACTCTTGTGGTCCTTCCCTGTTTGAGCCGACCGATACTTGATAAGATAAGAAGCTTCTTTACCTTTCATCTTTACCCATCCCAAGAAACATTAGCCAAGAAACTTTCCTCACTATTTGTATATTAAACGATTTTATAATAAATACTTTATTTATGTGGTATACATGCAAAACAAAAAGGCGGTAGTAGTAAGTAACAACCGCGGTAGTAGTAAGTAAATATCCAAGATGGACCCAGGGTTCTCCTTACCTAGAGGGATTTCTTTGTTTTCTTTTTTAAAGAACGTTACCCCCATTCTAGGATTTTCTCCTGTGTCGTGTAGGCAGTTTACAAACATAAATTGCACGAGGACAAACATCCAGACCCGGAACAATTATTTGTAGGCCATACAAATACTTGTTCCGTGCGGGATTCGAACACGTTTTAAGTCACGGAAGTGTCCGGTGCGCTGCCTAATGCCTGTTGGCGGACTAAACCTCCTCGAAATATTGATTTACTTTCTCAGATATGTCTTTCATTCATTCCTTCGTTTACTACATGTCACATCGCACTTAAAATTGCAATTTATAATTTGCCTATCAGGTTCCTTAGTGCGACATATCGACGACTCCGATACGATATCGACTTGCCTCGCAATCGAATCACATGGTTTGTTGTTTCATCGTTTGTCATGCGAACAACAAATTAGATGTTCCCGGCGTCTCCTTCCATCCGATTACAATACTGAGCTATGTCAGTGCGTAAACAGTGTTACTAACTTTGAAATTCACTAGTACGTGGCTCTCCTAAAACGCGCTAGCCCTTACTGCGTATGTAAAATGAGGCTACGCGCGATTGTAGGTATTTAAGTTACGCAAGTAGCAAGAGTCACAGAGTCCGGGTAGTACATAATACATATTACCACAGAATAAATAATATTACTACGTACAGAAGTTGTACTCTTTTGATGTTGACTGCTTGCCTGTGTTTTAATAGCCTATTATTTATAATTACTATTAATTAGATAAATCACGCACGCAAGCTAAATAAAACTATCACTGCGTGTGAGTGTCCGTATTACTTTGCATCTTTTCTCTTTCCTACGTCACGGCGGACTTTCCGTAGTTACCAACGGCTGTCAATAAAGAGTAAAAAATACATTGCGAAATGTTAAGTAAGTTACCTTGGTAAGGTACCTATTCTGATTGTGGTCGACTGACCATATTTTCGCTACTATGTGAGTTCTGTGTTGTGTGGGCAACAGCCCAACGTATGGAACTTTCAGGAACATTCGTTGCGAATCTTGATGTTTGGCTAGGAAGAAATAGGTACCTAGGCGGTGTAAACAACAAATAAACCCGAAATACGATTCCTAACAGAAATGTGATTGTATTCTACTTAGTTGAATATCTTGTAAACAAAGCTTTAATTTCAGTATTTTATGGTATTATAACTTAAAATATTTTTAGTACAAAATACAAGTATATGTATGTAAGTAGGTACTGCGATAGTGAAGTAAATTTCAACTAAGTTCTGTAATTAAGTACTTAAGCACTTGGGCGATTCTGTAAATTGTTACTTAATTTTTTTTTCGCTACGGAAATACCTGGGTAGTCTATGTATAGATTTGTACACATTCCGTACAATTTCATGATTGACCATACCTACCTACCATCTACCTACTACGTACATCAGTACTTAATAATTTTAAGTACCTAACAAAAAAAATGAAATAAATTCACCCCTCATTATCCTTCGGTAACGTAAAAAGTAAGTAAGTCTCGGATTGGGGGCGACTAAATCTAGTCCAGTTTAATCCTCAGAAGACACAAGTTTGCGCGTTTACCGCTAAAAAGAACCCCTTTGTCGTATCTCCTCAGTTTCAAGGCACTCCCCTTCTTGCCTCAGCCAGTATCGGTATCCTCGGAGTCGACATATCGAGTGACGTGCAGTTTCGTGGTCACTTGGAAGAGAAGGCCAAATTGGCCTCTAAAAAGCTTGGCGTGCTCAGCAGAGCGGGACAGTATTTCATGCCGGCACACCGCCTGCAACTTTACAAGGCGCAGGTTCGGCCTCACATGGAATACTGTTCCCATCTCTGGGCAGGGGCTCCCCAGTGCCAGCTCCTTCCACTTGACCGCATCCAGCGCAGAGCGGCTCGAATCGTCGACGACCGAGCCCTTTCCGATCGGCTCGATTCATTGGCACTGCGAAGAGATGTTGCATCTCTTTGCATTTTCTTTCGCATCTACCATGGGGAGTGCTCTGAGGAATTGTTCGGATTAATCCCAGCCGCCAAATTTCACGAACGCACATCGCGGCAGAACTCCCGATACCATCCACACCATCTGGATGATTGGCGGTCCACCACTGTGCGATTTAGAAGATGTTTTCTTCCTCGCACAACTTCCTTGTGGAATAGTTTACCACCAGGGATTTTTCCGGACCGATACGACTTAGGGACCTTCAAGAAAAGAGCCTACTCCTTTTTAAAAGGCCGGCAACGCATCTGCAATTCCCCTGGTGTTGCGGTTGTTCATGGGCGGCGGTAGTCACTTACCATCAGGTGAGCCGCATGCTCGTTTGCCCCCTCTCCTATAAAAAAAAAAAAAAAAATCACAAATCTGAATCCTTTCGTTTGCTCATTAAGCATCCATCCATGCAACAACTATACTCGTAGTAGAAACGACGTTTTGCTATTATAATTCATCATAGATAGGTATTATACACATATATATTTAAATTGCATGAAACCTTTTTCAACTAAAATTAAATATACTCAATACTAAACAAAAACTATTTCAACAAGTATTTACAAAAAACTATTTACGTAACAGTGTGAAAAAAAAACTTTAAAATTAACTCGCCTAGAACGTGCTAGCCCTCACTGCGTATAACCTGAAGTCCCGCGCAATTGTACTTAATTATTCACGCAGGCAGCAAGAGTGACAGAGGCCTGATATTACTTCAATGAACCGCCGAGTTCATCACCATATATTCACTCACGATAGGTTTCGTTGTATTGTGTTAATGTATGAGTATTGATTATAAGTTGATGCTTTTTTTATTTTAATATATTATTTTATATAACAGAGTAGAGAGCAGTAGAGGAGTTATTTCCACAGGGTAAATGATTCCCACCAGAGTTACCTTACAGAACTGCAGGTTTGCTCGTGTACTATGTACAATTCAAAACGAAATATTGTTCAGTAGACGCCAAGTGTGAACGGCACCGATAATATTTCGCTCTCGCTTTCTCTTAATTGTCTTATGGAAGGCCTAATGATGCGCCGCATTACTATCGTTAACACTAATTAGTTGGTTACTGTATTGTAAAATTACAAATAATTTTTATATTAAAGGTTGTTATTATTATTTAAATTATTTAAACATTTATAATGAAATTGTAAACTAGAAAGAACGATCTATAACTTAAATCTTAATAACAATTTTTCTCAAAATCGAAATCGTCATCAGTATCGCTAACAAATAATATATCAATCACGCTAAAATAAAAAATAAAATAAACTATTTTAAAGCAAACCATTGTGGTCTTGAGTGACCGCGCTTACGGCGACTTCCAACTGACTGTCACGACCGTTAGCGTCTATTATCTACGGCTCCAAAAGTTAAATACCGCTACGCTCCCCACATTCTCTTTCTCCAGCTACTTAGAAACACTAAGAATAATAGTTGGCACTTCAGCATATAACGGTTACGTAGATTCTATACTAAGATATGGTATTTTATTTTGGGGCAACTCCGTTAATAAGGAAAATGTTTTTAAAGCACAAAAGAGGTGCATACGAGCTATGTGCAATCTAAAGCAAACTGAATCATGTAAACCATCTTTTAAAAAGTTGAAAGTATTAACTCTTACTTCATTATATATTTTAGAGGTCACCATGTTCGTAAAAAGGAACATTCATCTTTATGAACATCATGTTGGTCTGCGACACACAGATAAATTCTGCTCTGTAGCAAGTAGAACAGCGTTATTTAACAAGAGCGTGTTTTGCATGGCGCCAAAAATATATAACAAAATACCCAAAAAAATTAAAGATATAAAAAATGTTAAATCTTTTAAAAAAACGCTTGTCAGTGTCCTAATAAACAAAGCCTATTATACATTAAATGATTTCTTTAGTGATGATTTTTTGATACCAAATTCAACCATTGGATAAATAACTTGCTTTACATAATTATGTTAACATAAATATAAAAGTAATTACATCATATTTGATACTACTTATTAATTAATTTTAAAGTTTAAGTGAATAAAAAACAATGAAATGTGTCACTATTTATTTGTTTGAAATATTGTTAGGTCATTATTTAAAAATGTACATAATAAAACATAGTTATTATTCAATATATTTATGTCATAATTAGATTTCTAACATACCTACTTAACTCTTTTCTCAAATTCTATACCCACTAATTTTTTGTATACGTTCCATTTTTTGTTATTTTATTTACTTTAAATGATTTCCAAAAATATTGTATTTCGTATGCCAAGAGGGTAGGACATAGTTGAACTTGATTATATAATAATGTATCTAACATCTATGTAATACCTATGATCCACGAAATAAATGATTACTTCCAGGTGACGCCCCGCAAGAAGTTCAAATGTCCCGAGTGCACGAATACGGAGATGCTGTCGGCCGATGCTCGCCACATGTCGCAGAGGTCGGGCTGCATCGACCGCTTCGCCCGCATCTACGGCAACATGGCGCTCAAGCCGGTCGAGTTCCGTGCCGACCCGCTACAGTACCGGGAAAACTCCGGGATCCCACAGCTTTATCCTGACATCGGCGCGCTTTGAGGTAAATGCCGGTATAGCCGGCATATAAGCCCATTATTACCCGGCTGACTTTTTATGGTTATTTATGGATTTAATAGGTGAACAAGTTCAAAGTCAAGAGCGTCACAAATTTATTGGTAATTGTCAAGCGCAAAGTAGAGTGAAAAGACAAGGACATTTTAATCACTATTTATTTTTTCCAAAGCTAAATCCATTTTTCAAAAGAAAATTTGATTAATATCTATGCCATAGGCTTCTTCTTTGTCTACAAGTTACACCCAATTTTTTTTTTCAAATTGTAATAAAGTCAGCCGATGTAATATATAAGCCGGTATAGCTTAAGAAAACATACTGAGTTGGAACAGTTGGTTGATTAAAAATTGAAAAAATTTTTAGCATCTGTTTCTCCAACTTCAACGTGGATTGCTTTAAAACAAAGTGATAGGCTTTTGTTAAGCTAAGCTAATGTGGTTTTAACGTATTGAATTAGAAACAAACATGAAAATTCTTTAAAAATTGGATTATGAACATTTATTTTTTCACATGACAATTAAACCAAAGCCTTATTTTTATTGTACATAAATTATAAACGTCAATTATTTTAACCTGAGAGGGGCCTTATACATTTTTTTTTAATTTCGGGAGGAATGGACAATAAAAATTGAAAGGCTGTACGAAAAGGTATAGGTTTCGTCCCCAATACCAGGGTATATAGTTTTAACTGCCAATAATAGTTTCTTCATATTAATGTTTTTTTTTAACTCACAAATTCTACTAAAGCTCCACCACTCAGCGATATGATAATTTTATCGATTTACGTACTAACGCACATCACTATTGTCTGACCATAAAAGGTATTAGTGCGAACAAGAGGTCCGATATAATATCCTAAGCCCAGTTATTAGATGACGGTGCTTTTTCTATTTATTTTAATCTGTGCCATGAATTGTTTCTCTTGAAACTTTAATATTAATTTTACATAAATATTTATACAATTTACTTTATTATAAAGGCAGCTTTTATTAACCCATGAATAATATAATTATGATTGTACGTATTATTACAACTGAACGTGGGTAGATTTTGTTGTGAATTACGTAGTTGACACCATCAAAACTATAATTATTACTTCACGATATAATTTGAATTCATTCCTTTTTTAGTCTCAAGACTGGATTGGTTTTCCGTTTTAGGAACCGACCTAGATATATTTTGATCTTTAAAATATACACATTAGATGTTTATTTGCGTACATGAACTTATGACCTTATTAGCTGCGAGAGAACGTTCTGTACTCTATGCATATTTTTTTATGCGTGGCCACCGGCTGAATCGATTTAAATTATCTTTTTATTAAAAAGGTTATGTACTGGGATAGTCCAATATAAATTAGGAGAAAAAATTCCAGCGAAGGAGATTTTAATGTAACGATTGAAGTGGGTTCATACTTTATATTTTAAAGTTTAATTACTATAGAAACTGTTTTGTTTAGACAGCTTGGTACAATTATTTCGAATGAAGTGAGTGTCAACTACTCTATTGTCTTGATGTTTTTTTTTAATGCGATCAAATTAATATTAAGTATTATTTACATAATTTAAATTTATATCGACGTATGTCACACAAGTTTGAGTTTTATTGTCCATTAAAGTTGATACAAAAAAATTATATATACATGCTGCGAGATAATTTTTTTTTACCAACTTTAATTTAATGGATTTCCGCAAAGTAACGCCTGATTCTATTAATTATTTTATGGTCCATATATAATTCGGGCATAGAAAATTTGAGCTAGCGCTTCTTCAGTTATTTATACATATCTAGCTAAAACTATATTTAATCACTGCGTTTACTCGGCCTTACCTGATTGTGTTGTCGTTGGTGATTTTTCTGCTCGTCCAAGTAATCCATATTTGTGTTGGTTTTTATTTAAAGAAACTGATGCTTAATCAAAATAAGACAGCAGATAATAATTGTTAAGAGAGTGTTGTAAAGGGGCGATTTTCGGAAACCCTCCACGCTTTTAAGTTCCCGGGTTCCAATGAGGGCTAATGATTTTCTGCTCACCAGATGTCGCTAGTTGACACTGAGGTAAAGTTTTTTGTTACATAATTTCATTTAATGGAGTGGTTAGTTTTTAATAAAATTTTATTAGTTTCTAGAGTAATAACATTAATACACAAAACAATGCGTCAGTGGTTTACTCTTTAATTTTTTGCACATTTTTAACTTTTATTAATTTTTCTACGTTCATGAATATCTGTGGTTTGGTTTATTTATTTTTAATCTTGTTAATATAAAATAGTGATAATAGTACAGAAAGAAACATTAACCTTTACATTTTCCGAACAAATTAACTTTCCCGCTATGTAAACTGTCAAATATATACTTTTAAGTGGCGCCGCCCTGGTGGCAGAAAAAGTCGTGGATGCCCTCATTCTATTATATGTATAAGAATCTGTGTGACGTTTCTGTGTCAGTAATATTTTATCGACTCGCTTATCTCGAAAACAAATAATCGAGACTGGTAGTTGCGTAATGAAAACCCTATTCATAAAATTCTATTCAATTTTTTTTTAATAATTCGAACTTACAATTCCCTACTTAATATGATCATATTGAAGAGAAAGCTAATCGCTCTCATACTCATTTTTATTTAATTTTAGATAACCGTAAATTATTTATATGATATATATTTAACCGTCGACAACACAAAATGGTTGTCTAGGCCTAAGCGGTACCTCGTAACTTGCCATTCCTTTCGCTTTAGGTTATTAATGTGTTTAAGACAATAAGTCTAGTGTTTAATACATTTTTTAATTTGAACTCTGGTGCTTAGTGTGTGTGTTGGCAAGTCATTTCAATATATATTTCAATGGTGTGCTAATATTGATTTAGTTATTTGTTAATCCATAATTTATTGTAACTTTCTATATCCATTCGTTCGTGAATAATAATTTTAACTAATCCGAAACTCTACCATTGTTTATAACAATTTCATATATTATTATAACTTTTAAAGAAATTTAATAGATAAAATAACTAGATATTTGACCCCTTACCTTAAAGCCAAAACAAAATAGCGAGCACACAAATCTGTGTGCCGTACACAAATCTGTGTGTCTATATAAAGTTGAATGTTTCTTAGTCCGTCTCATGAATTCTAATCCTTAACTTAACCTATAACCTATTTATAAAATCATGACTTGGATGACACTACCGATTTAACAGGGTTAATGTAGACCTATAATAGAATAAAGATGTTTTTTAGTAAATACGACTATACAGGGTTATTTTGCAATAACCGGCCAAATTTGAAGAGAAAGTTGAAATTAAATAGTATAGGCAAACGGTGAAGAAAATTTAGTTAAAAAAAACTCAATCATTCTGTCCTTTTTATCTTTTTAAATCAAAATACGTGGTAATGTTTTATTTTATGTGATTGTCATTCATAAATATCTAACGCCTACTATTTTACTACGCACCCACACATTCGTAAGGGTCGCTCGGTCGGCAAAAATACACAGAGGAGCGCGCGTATGCGTAGTTGTTGCCCATAAATCACCTTCAATTTAGGATAATCTATATCTATACAAATGAATAAAATTGAAGTGTCTGTTTGTAATTTCAAAATAACAGCTTTATACTATATACGGTTCTTGTAACATAAACACAATTTTTAAATTTTTTGTCTGTCTGTCTGTTTGTTCCGGTTAATCTCGGTAATGGCTGGACCGATTTTGACGGGATTTTCACTGACATATAGCTGATGTTATAAGGATTAACTTAGGCTACTTTTATTTTAGAAAAAGAATTAGGGTTCCGTTCCGCGCAAAAAAATTAAACCCTTAAATAACACGCGTGCGAAGTCGCGGGGAACAGCTAGTTTCAAATAAAAGTAGAAGTACTATATATCATTATTTATATATTTGAACTTTAGTTTAATATTTGAAAGGACCCCATCAAGTGTCAGACAAGTTATATTTTTCTAAATAGATTATAATTATCTTATTTTGTCATAAAGTAAAAAAAAAACGAAATTCCCGTTACTAATTTCCGCGTAAAAACAAACAGTGATCGAATATTCGAAAAATATTGTGTGTAAATACCCTAAAGTAGTTTGTGTTTGTTTCCGGTTCGTGAATATCTTTAATATTTTTGTTTGGTAATAAAATACTCGTATACACACACACACACACACTTATATAATATTGTAATTGTTCTCAAAAAAACCCCTATCAAAAATCGTCCAATTGAATTCCATACACGGGTAGCTGGTTGTTTTAGTGTTATTATATGTTATAAAAACAGGTTTTTGATCGGTCCATACAGTACATATTAAAAAAAAAGAATTAGTTTAAAAATACATGTCACTAATCCTTAGGAGCGTAAAGAAATGATATTCTAAAGATGTTAGTAAACGAGCTATAGATGTATAGTGAAATTTTAGTCCATTTCGACATATCGGTGCTTGTGTGAAGATAATTCTAAAAACAAGAGGTAAAAGTATAGATAGCATAAATATATACGTATGTATATGATATAATGTATATTATATATGAAAATCGCACGATAGATAAAGGTAGTGAGATTTTAGAGTTTTATAGTGCGTGAGGTTATATTTTTTGTACACGTCATGTGTGACAAAGGTAGAATGCGCTTGAGGATATGTTTTTGAAGTCTTGTATAAAAATCTTACGAACTCTATGGCAACCTTAGTTGTATATAATATTCCATGCCTTATTGTATTTTATTTCGTTTTCCGAAGGAAACCGAATTTATCTTGAAATGTCTTTGAAAACATAGCATAAACTTTTAGTATTAAACGAATTTAAATTTTCATTGACAATTTGCCGCCATTCCTTACTAGATAGATAACAATTTAAGCAAAATAGCTAACACGTTTCGTTCTAAAATAAAAAACACCGTCAGAAAAAAAAACAACATTTCTGTTGCCCTTTTTAAAGCGTTCTCTGTGCACCACTTCAACATTTGTAAACTAATCGCTTAAGCATTAATGT